ATGCCAAAGGACTCCACAATCACAGGTGACTGGTAATGGGATTCATAATTTACTAGATCAAACCTCTGGTGCAGGTCAAGAGCAGCAGCAAAATTACTGGTAACTGACAAATGTGTGGTGGACTGTGAGAAAGAAGCTGCTGGTTTCAGTCCATTTCCAGACTGATGGACAGGTGTCTGGAATGCTCACAACAGTCACCACAACTGGCACCTCAAAGTGTCCCAGACAGACCAAGGACTGTGAAATGCTTGCATTTTAAATGCAAAGCTTAAAGACCGCTATAACCCATCCTTACCTGAATCAACTTCCTGAATCAAAATGGAGTATATGAAAAAACCCACCTTTACCTCTGGAAATATATTCCAGCAATTACCAACCCTCACAGTCAAAGTCTTGTTTACTTCCAGTCTGAACCTGTGACACATCATTTGCCAGCCACAATGACAAGCAGTTCTGATATGGAGTTTCCACATGGAAATGTGGACATTCCACAATGTCCACATGGACATTCTATAGAGTACCTATCCATCCCTGCCTCTTTTTGGGGATGACACCCCTCTGGGACAGGGTCTGAGCACCTGTTTGACAAGAAGACCCCAGTACCTCTCGCTTTCCCGGGACCCACACTGTCCTCCTTCCTGCATTGCAAACAGCAACCACTGCCCAATGCAGCATAGGAAGCATTCTTCCTCTACCAGCATTTAAACCTGTGGTTGTGGGGAGGAATGAGGACAGAATGAATAAGAATGCTTGTAAGTTCAGCTGCTTGGACATGACTATCCACCACAGCCTACACTTTCCAGAATGAGATGCAGCTGTTTTCAAGCTGCTGCACAATCCACATCAACAGTCTATTTTGTTTGGGCCCACATTCATCTCCATATAAACACCCCCACAAGAGGGTTAAACACCTGGAAAATCCAGACACAAACCCCTCAATGGACCTGCAATCATATTCTTCTGTTAAGATTAACAAGATTTACCTTTACATACTTTACTTTGAGCAATTGGAACAAAAGTTTTTGTTATCTGCAAATGTACTGAGGGTGCACTCGATCCCTCTATGTCCTTGATGAAGACATTAAACAGCAGTGGTTCCAATACAGACCCCGGAGGGGCACCACTCATGACTGGTTTCCATCTGGACACTGAGCTACTGACCCTCTGGATGTGACCAGAAAACCTGGACAAAAGAGTTCCTCATCTACCAGACAGTCCAGCCATCACATTCATCTCTCCAGTTTAGAGAAGGGTATTGCAGGGTACCATGTCAAAGGCCTTACAGCAGTCCAGACACAAGACAACCTGTTGGAGGGATCCTACATGTCACTGCCAGACATGCTATTATCTAAAGCACATGTTTCCCCATCTACCTCTCAGTGTCTCATATTCTGAATAGAAATTTTAAAACCTAAACTAACTGAGAATAGAAAAAGCAGGTGGCAAGAAACCTAATTATTCTCTTCTGTTCATGGCTCTTAGGTGGATTTATAAAACATCTGTGAGTGTCCCTTGGGCAGCCATCCAAAGTGCTCTGGAGGAGCCAACTTGATTCACCAAGGCTACTTGCCCTGCGCATCTGTGGGAGCACACAGCACATAGTGCTGTTGGACACTGCTAGCCCTCATTACATCTGAAATAACAAACCTGGTTCCACACAGTATGCACACCTTTTCTCTTGGACATGCGACCTGCTGCCCATAGGGTTTTCCATGAGATAGGTATTTGTATCACAGGAGCTATAAACATACATCTTTAAATTACAAAATTCTCACCAAAGTGGTTAAGATCCTATATAATAATGGTGCGCTTCATTGGAACAATAGCCTTAGAATGCTCTCTGAATATATTTCAAAGTTAGTTTTATTAGAGGAAAAACTTCTTTGAAACAAAAAGAACTAAACGACAACATGGCAAGATAGTTCAGGCCATATTTTGGCAATTTTTTTCTAGTGTAAATCACTTGAAGTCTTACAAACGATTCTGTGTCTTGCACTTAATGCAAGCTAGCCATGTCTAAAGGTGTAAGAAGTCTTAGAATCCAACTAATTTTACACTTACTTTTTCCTGTTATTCCAGCTTGAAAGTACTCATTACTTCCTAAGGCCAAACTTTGAATATGAGCCATCCATGAATCAGACATCCATACGGGTTTGTAAATGATGATTGAGATAATGTCCAAAACAGAATTTCTATAAGAAAACTTTTTTAAAGTATATCTCAGTAGGCACATGTAACCTAAACCAATACTTTGTTGTGAAACTTCTATCATTTTCTAATAGCTTACTAACTTATGAGGAACTGAAGCAACCAATACCCAAAACCTGCAGTATCTAAGTCACAGGAAAGCATACTTTTTAAAAGGTACTGTGAGCATTTCAAACAACCAGGTAAAAACAGTCTGTAACATCACAGAGAGGGGCAATGCCTTGAGTTACTAGAGTAGAAAACAGTTTTACAATCTGTAGCAAGCTAGTGTTCACCAGATAGACTGATGTTTGTTTCCATTTCTTCAGTGTTGCATTCTTGACTATGAATGACAAAGACAGATTGAGCATTTTCATTCTCTACCCACCAGCCCCACGGGGTTTAAAATCAGTACTTCTGATACACCACTTTAAGTGCTCTATTCAGAGGTATTATTGCAACAAAACAGTGATGAAACTTCAGAATCTGACAAGCAAGATGTGGATAATTTGTGATTCTGAGAGCTACAGTATGCATCCATATCCTTTGTTCCACACACGGGCAGAAAAGACCAAATTTTTGGTCTTTGATAACATGCTACTAAAACACTACTGGCTTGTCAATGTCTAAAAACATTTACCTTCCTTAGTGTGAACAGAAAGCTTTGTCTAATTAATTATTTGCAGCATTTCCTACATCTCCTACAGGACTAGGGAATACTAGAGATAAAATATGCTTAGTTAAAGACAAAGGCAACTACTGCAGAAGCAAAGGCAGCTTTTTATAAGTGATCAGCATTCACATAAATGCAAACACATGAAACAAGGAACCTCAGAGAAAAGATATTCCCATATCACTGCAATTGCATGTTTAAAAGTCTGAAAAACATCAGATGATTTCTGAACACAAAAGTAATCACTTTCCATGAGTGAAATTTGGGGAGAAAGGAGGGATACACATAAGGAAAAATTTTATTTCAGTGGACATGAGAACAATCCCAAGCACAATGTGGACACACAAGCTGTAAACAAACCTACCTAAAACCTGGCACAGATGTAAATAACAAAGGAAGCAACCCAACCTAAGAGAAGTTTTTTAGGCTCTAGGTACTGAACAGAAGCATTCAGACACAATCAATCACCGCAGTAAAACCATGACTGATAAATTAATCAAAATTAGCTCAGCTCCCAAATGGAAATTGAAACCTTACACTACTTTAGGATCCGGGGAGAAGTTTAAAGGAACTATGCTGCATGCAGAGAAAATCGAATGCACAGTTGGAAGCAGGGGTGATTAAAGCAAGTCCATCCTCACGTTGTTCACGTGTTTGTTCATATGCCACTGTTACTTTTGAGACACTGCTGTGAACCAGATTGGGAAGAGATCTGGGTAAACATAATCCTTCATGTCTTTTGTGGTCGTAACCAGAGGAAGAAATGGTGACCTGGTTATATTTAAACCACAAAAGCTCCCAGTTCTATTTACCATGCAGCCTCACAAACAGATGCACCACCACAAGCAAGGAGGTGGTGTGTGTGCTGCCAAAACTACCACCACCAGAAGCACTGGCCTGAGGCTGCAGCTGATCTGTACCATAATCACTCTTCCTAGTTTTATAATCATGATAAAATAAAACAAAATTCCATTCATTTTAAAGACCAGCACCCTAGAAGCAACATGACATCTTTACTCAGCACAAATGTTTATCTTTTCAACTAAGAGCACTCCTGAAATTCAGACTTAACAAACATCAAGCACAGCACAAGTCAAATGGACAGTGTAGCAAAGTCAACAGCTAAAGCTCATTTTATTTAATGAAGCACATTTATAAATCACATTCAGCACATTTATAAATTCAAGGTCAACCCAGAGTTCACTATTACCTTGATATTGGGGTTGATTGTGATTACTAGGGACACCTCATGTTTGGCTTACCTATTGACTTGCCTGGGAGAAGTGGAAATTCTGTAGTTTAAGAACTGAAATCACTGGAGACATTTTGCATGAAGAAAAAGAAAAGCAGAGATTCCCAGCACCAACTACTGCCTTACCCACGATTTTGCCACATTTCATGAGAAGTGGAACGCAGGGAAGGAATTAACAAATTTTAGAGGATAATAGCTCCTGACATAAATCAAATAGCCGAATTTTAAGATGTAGCAAAGCCCAGGCAGACTCCCCTCCAAGGTAAGCAGCTGTAAAGAAGAAACCATAGCATTCCAACAAAGGAGACCTATATCCTGTTCCCAGCTTCTTCCCTGCTCAAGATAACACAGTAAATATAGGTCTTCAGATGAGTTTCCCTTCAGTAAAATGGGAATAATACTTTATGTAAAGTTTTGGAGACTACAGATGCACTGCTATTTTAGATCTATTATGTGAGGATCATTGGTTCCTCCCACACTCCAAGCCTAAATAAGGCAATTTTACATAGAAAAAGACTGCAAACCCATCTGCCATAAATATTCAAGGAAGGGGCCCAAATACAAAGAAGGGTTAGTACTGGGGTAAGAAAGTTGTTTATGTGATGCTTAAACTCCACACATAAGGAAACTTACCTTTACTATTAAATTAATAACATAATCCCATTATTGTGTTATACAGATTGACAGTGTAGTTATCTTCCTTTGTCAGTTAAATTTCTTCATGTTGTAGCAGCAGCAACAATAAAACTGGCTGGATCTCAAAACTTCAGCTTTCAAGAAAATCAGTCTCAAAACACCAATTGCACAGAACAAAAAATTAACCCCAAGATGACTGTGATAGTCAACTGCAAAGGAAGGATTTACTGTGGAGTCCCCCACAACTCTTACCTCAAGCATAGGGCGGGCACTGTCATGGATTGAAAGAATGTGCGTAATGTTATTCTTACTCAATTGCTCTACATCTCGGGCATCTGTGATAGAGGGAAAAAAGGAAGATAATTTTTTTAATCTCTTGATAGAGCATTTCCATTGTGCATGTTGAAAAGTTACTTATTGTTGATACATTTCCTTTTCAAGCTGCATAAAGTCAGACAAAACCTCAAATGCAGCTGTTCTAGAAGACCATCACCAGAGTGGGTACGGGAAGACACACTTCTAACTCCAAAACAAATTATATGCTATATAAAGACCAAGCTTAAGTGACTCAGGAATGTGTTCAAGTCAGAAGTTTCATGTATTTTGCATCTGAAATGTAAGTCTGTGCATGCCTGTGTGCAGGTGATGGCCATCTGAACACGCACTCAGAGCTGTACAAGAAATATCTGACCTCCCCTCTACCCACAAATCCCCCTTCAGGGAATACATTTTCACTTGGGAAACAGACCCTGTGATATCCAGGTCTGAGAAGGGAAGCTAACCGTATCATTTGAATTGAGGCCTCTGCAGACAAGCCAAGATGATAACAAGATTCTTACTTTCTGTGACCCAGTAGAGAAAAATGTGCATTTAGCCAATACAAATGATAATTAAGTCTAAAGAGAGACAGGTGATAAAGATATCAAATGTATGAAAAAGCAAAATGCTACAGCAAGGAAGTGCAGTTGTGAAAAGGTGGTTCCTAGACCTGCAACCAAGGGGTTTCAGACATTCAAAACTGGAAAGAAAACTGGGGTGACTGAAAATTTGATACTAGATATGGCAAAACCATAGGCTTGATTCTATGAGAAAAAAGGGTAAAATAGACAATCTGTCATCAGCGAGCAACTTTCCCCATACTAAACTCTCAGCATGTCAAAAAACAACCTGAAAGAACCACCAATACAGGTAAAAGTTAGCTTGTTCCCATCTACTTTTGACCTTTTTGATTGAGACTGGCACAGCACACCATGGTAAGTACAGCAGTGGTTTTGTGATGGGAACACCTGCCTTTGAAACCTGCCCATACAATTTTTCACATTAGCCTGGTTGCACACAAAAAGAGAGCACTGACCACAAAGGTTTCAAACCGGCTCTCTCTAGGTACAAAAATAATAGCATCACCTGTATGTTCTTTATGTACATGCAAGAGTTCAATTAGCATCTCTTGGGTTGTCTTATCCCCCTACTATAAAGTTTCAATGCCTTTTCTACATCACAAAGAAGAGCTGAAGATTTAATTATACTGCCCCATAGACAAGATCCAAGTGAGCACAGTAACAAGCCATGAAATTTAAACCTAATCCAATTATGAAAGCTTCTCTACAGCTAATAAAATGAAGAAAATAGTCAAAACTGCAAGGATTTTATTCACTACTGCTCAAGCCTGCATGATCAACACAGATGCCTAATCCTTCAAGAGAGAATTAACACAAATTCTGTCTGAAACAGAATTAAAGCCTAGCTTCACAGAACAAATAAAATTTCCTAAAAGTCTCAGAGAAAGCATTTCAAAGAAGAAATGCTAATGCTCGCCAGGCACGTCCTCTAATCTACCTGACCTTCAGATTTTTTTAACTGTTTGTAGGACAGTCTCAATTCCTTAGGGAATACCTAAGCAGGCAAGGATTTGGAAGCCCAGAAACCAGCCTAGGTGCCCCTAAAAATCACTGGTTTCTGTCTTACAAAGACTAAGGGCAGACTTCAGAGACTGCTGGCTGGAACTCATGGTGTTAAGGCACACCTAGTACAATGAGACCCCAATCTCTAACTATCAGTATGACCTACATGCTAAGAAATGTCTTGCCACACAAGGCAAACTGCTTTAAAAGAAGATATGATCCAAATTAAATGCTGACTGGTTTGAACTAGTTTGAAAGGCCTAATGGTCATAGTACAACTCAAAAAGACTAAAATACCTTAGTTCTTCAATTAACAGAGACTTGGGCTAAAGGAATTTCAGCAAATCAAAACTATAAACTGAGATTTCAGATATTCCTAGAAGCTGGAAATGGGTACCTATGTCAATGGGTAGCCAGCAAGTCCTTAATATAGTTGGGAAATAAGCATTCAATTCAGAGGAGAAGCAGAGGAGAAAAAGCTTCCCAGCTACTGCCTGGATCTAAACTTCATATAGTTTACAAAGGGGAAATTCCCCTGGTTCCCCAGCACCTGCCTTAAGTCTCTACAGATACTACAGAAAAGGCTATTTAAACAGCAGTACAAATAAGATATCCTGTCACTCACAGTCTCATACCATAAATAACAACAAAAAAAAAAAAATTAGAGGTTATGTAAAGAACCACCAAAAACCAAAAGAACCACAGCAATTCTAACTTCTTTGCTGTAGCACAATGCTATATGAGCACATCCAAGCTGACATTTTGAAATCACAGTGTGAAACACTCCATTTTCAAATTTTAAGATTAAACCTACCTATCAGAGCCCCCTCCAGTGCATCCTCAAGAGGGTGCTTCAAATGTGGCATTATTCTTCAACAACAGCTTACCTAACATTCTGTTTCATTAGCTTCTCAGCTAATGCAGATGTGGACTTTTGAGTAAAGCCTTTGGGAAACTCTCTCTTCACACAAAATGACACAATTCACACTAGGGAAGTCTTCCTCTCTCCTTCTCACATTTAGCCTTTTTTTCCTCAGTTTCATACTATGACTCCAAGCTTGATCTCTACTCATGCAGAGAGCTGCAAACACTTATACACCAAAACAAAGCCAAAGTCATCAAAATGGGACCGAGGCCTCAGAATTTGTATCCCTACAGCTCTGGGAAGCCTTACTGTGTGGCTGAGGAGCAAATCACCTAGTGCAGTGTGCTTCCATCCCCCATCAGCAAAAGAGACACAGCTCCAACCACTGCAGTTAAGACACATCAGTGACTGAACAACTCCAATACTACAGTGGTGAAGTTTCAAATGTACCTACAACCATCCTCTCCCTTAGTTCAGTATTTTAATGCCCCCACAGAAATGCAAGGTGAGGGATAAGGACTTCCTCTCAGACAAGGCAAGTCAGCTCAGCATGTACAACAGTATTAGGTCTCAATCTGCAGATGTATAGAGACAATTTCATCATCATCAGATCTTTTTGGTTTTATTATATAAAGTAAATTTTTGTCTACACTTTCTCTTCTGCTTTGGAGAGAGCTAGCTAGAGAGACAGCCACCTAAAGAAGAACATCCTCTGCAGTGGTTTAGTGCACTAAGAGCTCTTACTGAGAATGGTTTCCCATCAGGAGAGCTTTGTTCCTGAATCCAGCTATGTGCAGTTACAGACACACACACAAACTGTGTACATGAACAAAAACTCCACCTGTCCTGTCTCCACACTTTGTTCTAAAATATATTTTGTCCCATCCTCTCAGAAGGACCTTCTAGGGAACAAGAAAGATGGGGGAAAGAGGTCAGTCCTCTGTTTAATGGAGTACCATTAGTCTTCCTTCAAAAGGTGAAGCTGAAAAAGAAAATAGTATCTCCATCCTCTCCTGTTTTCAGTACCTGATATAAAGCCTTAGGAAATGGAATTTAAAAAAATACTAAGCAGATGAGAACAGGAATTAACTGACTTTAGAAACAAAGCAGAACTACTTGGTGGGCATTGCCTTTCTATACACTTAGTAATGGGAGGGGCAGAAACGTCCTCAAGACTCTCCAGACCATCCACAGCAACACTGGACTCTTTGGGGAAATTAAACCTCATATTGTGGCTTTCCCCTTCAAATTAAAAAGCCCCCAAATGTTCCATGGAAAAAACCTTGAATGATTTCAAACAAGGAAACTCTTTAATATCCAAGGTAGAAACACTCTTGAATCTCCAGTTTCTGCTACTGTCACACCTCTTGGTTTGGAAGCAAACTGAGCATCCATTAAGAATCTCTCATCAGAAGAAACAGATTTTGTTTTCCATTTGTGCAGAGAACCAGGCTGTCCTGTCAATCCCTTAAGGAACAAAGCAACCATTTTTGTTGTGAGTACAGGTGACTTTCAAGAGCCATCAGGTTTCCAATGCAGAAGACAAGTGGACATGCAGTCCCACAATAAATATTTTGTCTTTTGAGAGGACTGCATTTCTTCTGTAAGGTACAAACAAAACAAAACAAATTTTCTCCAATATCCGAGGCAGAAAGAAGAGTAAACTTCCTCTTTCTTTTCCCTCATTTTTCCCTCTTAGCCCCCTACTCTCCCATTTGCAAAGAAATAACTACTCCTTCACTTCCACAGAAAAATCCCAAGTGTTGTTTCCTTCTGGGCTTTCAGACCAGACTGAGTCTTGTATTTTATATGGACATCTATGGCTCTTCTTGAATTTTTCTGCCCTCTAGCTGTGCAATCTCAAATATGCCCTCTCAGGAGCATACTACACTTTTCATGTGCTACTGATGAGCTGAATCATGCTTATAGAGCCTGTAAGATAAAAAGCGCTTGAACACATGCCAAGATCTATGCTTATTCAGGAAGGTTTTTCAGAGACATACTCAAGCTCTGTGGACTTAGGAGGATTTCAGGAGATACTGCGCTGCTTTCCATAGTCAGCACTACATGTAACTTTCTACCCTAAAGACTCTTAAAGTGATTACTAAAGCCCCTCTCAAGTCTACGTGCTTAGAGATTTGTGCAGCACCAAACAAAGCAGAAGCAGCAAGCTCAGCTCCCATTTCTGCCACAGGTTCATTTCACAAGCTTTCTGGGCCTCAGTTTATCTCCCAGTCAAATGCAGAATTTGCACTGCTCTGTCATAGACTGTATTTAAGTTTACTAGGCCTAAAAGCAGAAATATAGCTGAATAATAATTCCCCAACCAGAGCAATTGCTGAATAATGTCTTCTTTAGATAACAGCCCTCCAGAATTAGTGTTTAACATCTCAAACATCCTACTTTCACCCAGCAGAAAGGCATCCATCTGGAAGAACTGTGCCTTTTCCCAGCCTGTCAGTGTTCCCAGAGGTCTTCCATGCAGCAGCGAGACAGGAGTGTGAGTAGGATGGTACTTTGATTTAGCTCTGGAAACTGTGCATGCCCAGGCTCCCTGAGGAGCCACTAGGTAAAGACTGTCCTCCAGAGGACAGATCAGAGCGATTTACAGACATCCCCCCTGACTCAACTTCAGGAGAATCTCCCTCCTCTCCACCCCAGCTCAGGGACTTCAGACAGTGCCTCGAATTCTCAGCCCCATGTCTGGGCAAGATGCACAACACCAGGGATTCAGTGTTTCCTCCTCTTACTGACAAGATGCAACTTTATTCAATTTCAAGCTATCAGTCTTAATCTGAAGAATGGGAGACTGGTCAAAAATGAATTACAGGAAATAATTGTATAAAATTATTATTATTATTAGACCCCTGTCTCCACAAGTAGCTAGTCAAATCAGGATATTCCGACCAATCCCAACTGCACATGCTGCTGTGTATTTCTCAGTCAGTGATCCCTTTTGTGGCAGTCTCAACGCTCACTAGGTACCTTTTAAAAAAAGTTTCATAAATCAGAACACGTCCCAAGAACATTGGGATCAAACTCCTCCAGAAAAATACACTGGTAATTAACCAACAACCTGTTCCTAAATGGGATGACTTCACTGCACAGAGAGCTTGCTGCATCTGCTCCTAAGCAGTGAGGCAAGGGGATGTTGAGCGACAAGGGATGCAAAAAAGACTAAGAATTATAAAAGCACACTCTCATATTAGTGACATATTGTAACACCTATCTTTTCCTCTCCAGGTATCGTAGCTTATCTGAGATTATAACAGGTACTTGTGAGGGTAGAATGTAATGATTAAATGCAATATGAGCAAAAGTCATATCATAGCAGTAAACAAACAGAAATTTTCATTTGTGTTTTTAATTAATTTAAAAAACAGACTCCGTAACATCAACACCAGGGTTAAAGTCAACTTGTCTTTCTTTTACAGAGGTAAGCAGAAGCGTTACACCCTCTGCTTCTTTTTCAGCGAGGTTCCCAGAAGCACTTTCCACTCACAGCACCTCCACCCGCACGCCTCTGCTCTCCAGGCAGTGACCTGCCCTGCCATTCCAGGGCCGCTCCCAAGGCACACGGAGAGGGAGAGGGCTGCAGGCCTGCTGTGGGCAGGGATGCTGACTCACTCCACAACCCTGCCCAAGTGCCCTGCTCTGAAGACAGAGCTTCACCAGCAAACAGATGCTCCCAATGAGTTTCACTCCCTTGGGCAAGGGCTTTTGAGCAGGATGGCCATGGGGAGAGGGACAGATTGGGAGCCACGTTACCAGGGCCCATCCTGCCCACCCTACCTGAAACCTAAAGGATTCCACTATCCAACATCTTCCCAATTCCACCCCTCGCCTGAATTACTTGAGGAAGAGAAAAGAAAATAAAAAGAGGAAGCAACATGGCTGTGACCAAGTTTTAATTTTTTCAACAGATCATGCAGTGGTCCATCCAAAGAGCTTTCAAACCATCCTCTTGGCCTTATTTTCTTTTTTCCCCCGTATTTTTATTTTTTCTCCTTTCATTATCAGCATGAAATCCCCTCTATCCTCTCATTTTCCTTACCACGGCACAATTAACTCCCTCACACAGTTGCCATTGTACTTGTGTTTATGGTGTGGCAAACGGCAGCTTTCAACCTCACATGTACCTCCTGGCTGCCTTCCAAAGTGATCAGCTCCATATCCCAAGGGACATCAAGCACTGGATCCACCTTATGGGTCGGCAGATCCAGAAGCAGGTAAGTCAGGCAAAAACCACTGAACTCACAGGTTTTGGGATGGGGAGGCATGGAAGGAAGAGTGGGTATGAGGCAGAGAGAAGGTGCAGCACCATCTAAATCCAGTGTAGACACTGCCAGCCTTAACAGACTGGGTGTGGTATCAGACAGCCCAGGAAGGACAGATATCTATTGCAGCAGCCCCTGTGAGCCCTGCTTTGCTGTTTTACCCAAGCATAGGAAATAAGGGGTCTGCATCTATCAAAACAACTGTACATGCACAACTGGTTTACTTCTGAGTAGGGAGAGTCAGCCAGAACTGCTGCTAACAGAGTGCTTTGAGAACATGCCATTTATTTGGATGTCTGCATAAAGTTTCCTGTGATTTCTAAAGGTGTCTGTTTTTCTGTACGCAATAAATAAACTTCATGCATGAAGCAAAAAAAAAAAAAAAATCCATAGAAACTTACATCTGCAACAGAGACAGTGTGAGTATCAGTGGTCAGGCTGCAACCAGCACACATATCAGTCTCATAAGCAGTGACAACAGAACTCTTTAGCAGCTGTTATAAATAACCAAAATAATGAAAGCAATGAGCAGGAGGCATAGTAAGCCTTTACTTATAAGGAGGACTTGCAATAAGCCTTACAAAGAATCTGCCTGGCTCACAGGCTTGCTTGCCAAGCATGGGAATCGTTTGAGGCAGGCCAATGTTTAGGAATTCCATCTGAAGCATGGTTCAAGGAGATGGTATTCATTTTACTTTTCTCAAAGTACTTGCAGCACAGCACACAGATGAGAGAGCAAACGAGCTCTTCTTTAAATGCTACCAGGTGAATCCAGACATGAAGCAAGATGGGGTTAAAAAGCTACAGAGATGCTAGAGAATTCTGAGTGCCTGCAAAACAACACCTTAAGACCCCTGTAAAGTAACCCTAGAGATAATAATAAAACTAATCTTACCTTTAAAGTTGCCAATGAACAAGCCAGGCAGAATCTGTGAGAAAGAAATATAGTATCAAATATAGATATCTTGTGGTAAGACAATTTGACAAAGTTCAATTTGCATACAGGATGGAACATACTACTTTAGCAGACTATTGTGAAATGCAATCTAAAAAATGCTGACAACTTTTGCAACCTTCTCAAACCAGACAGCTCTAGGCATGCTGAACTTCGATAGCATTCCTTGAAGTTAGTTGGGGGGAGGGGGGGGAAGGTTGTTAATCGTGGGGATTCTTTCACTTAATGGAGGCTCTCCAAGGACAGCAAATGTAGTTTACAAATTAAGAAGCAGCCTCACAACACAGCCCTCCCCTGCCCCCCGCAGCAGGGTAACAGCTACCCTCATGGAACTAATGATGAAACTTCACATAGCAAAGGTGATTTGCCTAAAGTTGCTAAGGAAGCTGGACAAAGCCCTGCAAAATGACATCCTTCGAAGCTTTTGAAGTGCAAAGCCATGCAAGTCAGGGCTGCAGCACTGTGGAGCTCTTAGAAGAAATCACTGCAAACGGCAACTTGTGTGCTCACATAGAAAGGGAACTGCTGAAAGTCTGTGAAATGCACGTTTCTCTCCCAGATCTACCCATTCACCCCACACTCTCGGATGCCTGCACAGGTGTCAGTTACAGGACATTCTTAAATTTCACATCTTTCCATAACAAGCACCAGGTACCAGGTAACTGGGGAGTTTCAAGGTCTGCCCAAGGACCAACATGTGCATCAGGGCACATGCATGCACAGACACAGAGGCAGGTGATACCTGCCCCTCCCACCCTCTCATAACCCTCCCAAACTTAGGAACAGCAGTACGGACATCAAAAAACTGACAGGCACACTGAATACACATTTGCTAGCCAAGATTTTTGTCCTCTGCCACCTGAAGTCTCTGACCCACATCCTTTGAGGAGATCAGAACTATGGTGGTGAAACCATACATTTTTCTTCAGTCCATGCATAGCATGCCAGCAATACAGGTAAATCAGCACTGACTTCCTATAGCCTTAGCAACACCCCAGAGTCACAACAGCAGCGACAGCCTCTCAGGCCCAGCTATTTAAAGGGAAAACTCCACCCATTTAGCTCAATCCGGCAGCCATGAAGTCCCAAAAGTCATGAAGGACTTTTCATCAGGGATCATTGCCACAGACTCAGTTTCACTGCAGCCTTCCTGCTGAAAGGTGACCCAGCTTACCACGCACAGGTTAGCAGGGCCAGCAGAAGAGCCTGTAAAACAGCTTCTGACCTGCCCTAACTTCAGGGCTTTCATCTGACCAAAGCATTTTGTTTGCTGTTATTTATCGAGCCTTGCAGAAAACAGAAAGGCTGCAGCACCTCTTGCACTCCTTGCAGCTTTGGTTTGTGCAAACATTCCTCCCTTTAGGCTTTGCTGGGGGATCACTCTCTGCCTGCTGTGTCACACCAGCTCTAAACACAGGGCTCAATTCTCCCCACAATACAAAAAGACAGCTTCTCCAGGACCCTTGCTATACCTTATTGTTTGCAGATCCCTGCTTGAAAATTAAGGGCTGATTGACAGCACTGGCTCGTCAAGAAAACAGTTCTTTAGTACAAATGGGCACCTGTACATTCTGCAAAGATAAGCTCAGGCAGCTTTCTCCCTTTTCCTTCCCTCTTCATCTGTACAAATACAACATTCTTACAAAGACAGCAAAAATGTCCAGGGCAGTTTCCAATGCCAGGGTATCATGTAGGGTAAAGAACCTTTATAACATCCTGCTGTCCCCTTCCATGTGCACAAGACTTACGGTTTCAAGGGACAATTCAGCATTTCAAGCACTCCCAATGACACTGCTAGAAGCGCAGCTCTAATGCTGCATCCTAGGTCAGGAAAAAGAAGTCTGTAGCTGCTCCAGAGAGGACAGTACTGAAGAGTCACTGCCAAATAGGCAAAATTCTGCAAACACAATTATGTTCTAAAGCAAAAGGGGCTCAAGTTATGAATGAATTCCACCCACAAGATCACCCCAGTGAGTTCCCTCAACTTCAGTATAAAAAAAAGGAAGAAAAATTTTAAAAGCTTTCTGGTATTTTAAAATAGCTGTCTGGTATTTACTATCTGCAGCACAAATCTTCTATCACACCACTACTGCTGTAGACTATAGCACTTTAGACTCCAGGACATTATTTCTGCATCAAATGTGCATTCTCAAGAGAGAATAAAAGCCTAATTTGAAGTCACAGTCATTAAGCTTTGACATTAGAAATTAAAGATATTGAGAAACACTGGGGGGTTGCAGAAATGAGGTTTCTTGTCAGTAAAGGAGGAAAAATCCAGAAGTCTGCATTTGTGCATCAAGAAGCAATGCTGTATGATAGACAGGTAATTAGGACACCGTGCAACCAAGGACAGATGTTATCCCTGTTGTACTAGTCATTCTAGAAGCAAGAAACATTACTATGGGTGAAAGCTACCTGAAAAGAAGTGAATCTTCATGTCATGCTGACTAATACTTCAGCACTCGACTATGGCTGGGAACTTTCAGCTGTGTCATCTCACACTGCCTTCAGTAACTGCAACTCCAGGCTGTGCAAAATGAAGGCTGATGGCAGCTAGGGGCGTGTGAGAGAGAAGGGGTGGGAGTCAGAAGAGTAGAAAAATAAGGTGGATGTTTTTGAGAACTTCTCAACCACTGCTATATGAATAAAAACAGTAGCCTCTTTATGTGATCCGAAACATTGAGAAAATGACCACAGACCAAGTAACCGATGTAGAAGAATGCACAACCAAGGGACAAGGACACCAACGTCTGTCCTAGTTTGTACCTCACATGAGAGCAGCTCACGTTCTCCACCTTGCACAAAGACCGAGCCCTGGAACAGACAGTAGTTGCTAATGCTTCTGTCAGTCCTCTCCGACAATACACCTCTCTGGAAAACGGCTTAAAGGGCTCCTTTGGTGCTGTTTCCTACATCAACAAATGCTTATAATAAAGCATCTAACTCCTTGCCTAACACTGCTTCTGGTTGTGTTAGTTCTGATGGGCACTCCAGAGAGGTCCATGGAGCTTTCTCAGAGATGTCTGGGCACTGTAAAATGAAAAGACAAGCCTACCTTTGTCCAGTAGTACAGGAGAGTGACACACATCAGGGAGGGGAATTTGCTGCTGACATGAACTGGCACAGCTTTCTATGACTTACATAAAATTGGCTACCTCAGCTGTAACTAGCCATATTGGTTTAAATTTCTTATGAATCCACTCCTACAACCAACAGGGCTTATCTGCCCTTTTTGTAGAGATAATATTTGAATCTTCTGAAGAGTTTACATGAGTAACTGTCAGTTAACTTTAACAGAACTAAACAACAACTAAACCCCAGGAAGAGCTCTTCACCAAGATCCTGTTCACAGATAGTCAAATCTTGTCACCATCTCAGCCGCTAGACTTCAGCTCCTGGAAAACATCTTTCTACATTTCAACCACAGACTTCAACTTGAACTTTGAATACAAGTCAAAGTTAGACATCAACCATGAACACAGATCAGACCGCTGAGACAATTTCCTAAGTCAGACTCCATTACTTATTCTGTAAAATATACATCTTAAAAATACAAGAAAAAAAGGTGAAGTACTGAAAATCAATACTAGGCAGGTCAATGCATATTCACAAGCTGATTCTCCTTCTTCTCTGAAAAGAATAAAAAAGGTATGTATGAACAAATGCTTTCAGTTTAATTTGGGAAATGTCAGAAAGCTTGGATGGGCTTTAGGAAATAACAAGGCCAGGCTAATTTTACAGAGAAAATTAGCAAAGAAAGACAAACCTCACCTAAAAAGAATACCAGGCCTCCAGCCCTTATCACTCTAATGGCCACATAAAGTCACATGCAATTGCTATTTGTTATGAAATAGAACAGCATAATGGGACAGAAAAATAAAGAGGGGACCATGCCATTGAGAAAGGCTCAGCATCCAGAGGCTGTAGCAGTCCCTGGATCTTTCTTACCACACCCATTTACAGGCCACCATTAATCGTCTTCCTTTGGCATCTGTACAAAGGGACTCCTTAAATGAAATAACCCACCATCAAATAAGCTGATTATTTTTTCCTACCATCCATATACAGGTCTACCACAAGAAACACACTTCAGCTGGAAATAAGGCTAATTGTATTGACTGCCTAGATTGAGACAAGCAAATACCACCTACATCTGCGCTGATGGCTCCGTGCTTCCCCTTGCCCCTCCAGCTTTGCCGACTCACAAGATCAGGAGGAAGAAATGATCCCGAGACACATTTGGAAGAGATGGCAAGTTCCAGACGAACATGTGGGACCCCTACAAATATAAACCCTGAAGGCCAGTACCCAATATGATTGTAGCCTCCTTAAAGGAACCAGCCATTTCCAAACTGCTGAATAGCTCAACCTCTTGGATACAGCTATAAGAAAGGGGAGTAGAATCCAAGTAGTGTTATGCTTGTCCAAAAAGCACCAGGTGGTACATGTCAGGGCAACATTTAACAGAATTTAAATTACCAAACTGGGCAGTCACAGATTGTCAATTCCTACCCACACAGTACCACAGTAAAATGTAATGAAGCTTCAAAGGGCTGAGAGCTGTCCTTTCTGTTTTATTTTTTGTCTCTCCCTAGACTGCAACTTAAGCATCCTATATTGCATCCCTCTAAACATTCTGATAATTTCAAGCATTCCGAGATATATACTACAAATATCAGAAGCCTAAAAGGAGTTTCCCTAGCTGTATTTCTTCCTAACTGGCCATTTCTAGAAGGCTAATATCAATGAGTGGCTAATATCACAGCATTATTCCCAGACTTTGAAAGCAAAAACTGAGAAAAGGACCAAGAGCGGTTCTACCTCCTACACACTAACTCAATTCCTCAGCAGCCAGCTCTTATCACTGCCAAAGGCTTCTATTTCAATGCCTCTATCCATAGGATGGAAAGGCTTCCCCTTCCAGGTGGCACACTAAGCAGTCTGGATGCTCATCAATCTGACTTCAAGGGGTAA